TCTGCATGAATTTTGGAATGTGAGTATTAATTATCGATACGCTGCCGCAGGAATTATTACAGATTTTTATATGACTTATTATTAGGTTAGGTTAGGTTGGGTTGGGTTAGGTTAGGTTAGGTTTATGTTAGGTTAGGATAGGAAATAATTAATGCAAAAATTCGTAATAATTCCTGCAGCAGCGTATCGATAATTAATACTCACATTCCAAAATTCATGCAGATCCGTTAAGTATTGAAGGAATTATGAGTGTCCCATTTGCTTAAAAAATACGTTTATTGGTTTTAATTAAAAAATAATTCCTGTAAAAATCTGTAATAATTACTGCGGCAGCGTATCGATAATTAATACTCACATTCCGAAATTCATGCAGATCCGTAAAGTATTGAAGGAATTATGAGTGTCCCAGTTGCTTAAAAAATACGTCTATTGATTTTAATTAAAAAATAATTCCTGTAAAAAATCTGTAATAATTCCTGCGGCAGCGTATCGATAATTAATACTCACATTCCAAAATTCATACAGATCCGTTGAGTATTTTAGGAATTATGAGTTTCCCAGTTGCGCAAGTCCGCAGGCGGGTCCGTAGAATTGTCGATCGAGTCATGTAAAACCAGAAGTAATCGTCAAGATAGTTGAACATTTTTAAACCGACAACGAGCAGTTCTATCTCAAACGCTATGGTTCAAGTTTCTTGATTCAATATAATATGAAAATTTGTGTTTCTTTTGACACCAGTGATATTCTAAAACAGCATCAGCTTCTAAAATTACGGAATAGCCCGCTTCTCCGCCGCATTCAATCGATCCATTGTTCGTCGCGTGTTCTGCAATCTGCACTTCATTTCATCAAAAGAGTGACAGAGACCAGGTTGGGCAGTGCACAAGCACTGGAAGCCTCCAAAACCAACTATAAAAAAAAAATCTGCACTTCACGTCTTCAGCCAGTTCAGCGTCTCCAGCTTTTAAGCGTGACTGCGTGACGGTGGTATTGTGACCCGTATAGAACTTCAAATCACGAAGAATCGATCAACTGTTGGGCGTTGCTATTTGGGGGTGATGCCCCTGATTAGGTATTTAGCGACAGGCTTCTGTATCGGATATGGCCCACTTTACTATATCAGTGGTAGAGCTAGAGCATTCGATTTCGACTGCAGATCGAGAGGACAGAGGTCCCCGGTTCAAACCCGGGCGCCCCTTGTTTTGCCACACCGATTCATTCATCGCCACACTAATTCATTCATCGCCACATTTACACTTAATCATCTTAAATTTGGCCTAGAGTCTAGAGCAAGGATTTGAGAGTCAGATATTGATATTATATATTATAGTGGTTTAGGTGTTTATTAGGCCGTAGGCCAGGCTGATACAATAAGAAAAATGGATTTCAGATTCGTAATCTACACCCCAAAAACATATAATTAAAAAAAAAACACCCTTTTTTTTGGATGTAGTTAATCTGCAATAATACCAAAAATATTTTACCGTCAATACCGTGTAAAATATTTAGACTATATTGCTATGTGACCGTTTCTTAACACTTTGACTCTGATTGCTTTGTCTTGTACTATTATTTCATTTTTTGTACTATTTTCAAACTGGGTTGCCACTGGCAACCCAGTTTGGCTACTAGCCTAAATCATAAATGACCGTCTGGCAACTTCCCAGACTGTCCAGACGGTCATTTTTTCTGGACAAATTCCATGATTTAGTTTTTCACCATTGCATTGGCAGGCTAAAATTTATGATAGGGGTACTTCATAATTAAATTTTAAATAGTACTGCAAAAAGAAAACAAATTTCATTTTTATAGCAGAACCTAAAAAAAAACAAGTATATATTGAGTTATTGGCCTTTTTTTCTAGGATCTGGCCAATTTTAGGCAACCTGAGTTATGTACCACTACGTCCTGGCCAGGGTGCAGAGGGACGAGGGCGGATGCAGCGTCGCCAAAACGCCAATAGGGTAAACGCGGGTCGCGGTATATTGCAACATCGTGGGTAATTCCGACACCTTGACCTCTCTAGTTTTTCCTTTATATTAAGCTTTGTCTTAGTTCCACGCATTCATTGATGGTTGAAATAGTGACGTCATACCTTTGCACGCCAAACTATTGCCAAAACACTAGGTTTGAGCTGTCTGGCAGGAAAATGTTAAGATCCAAAGAGAGACAGTGCATGCCACCCAGTATGGTGCAATTCTATAGGTTATTCAAAAGAACCTGGTCTTATGTCCTTTTGAACCGATCAACGCTTCTTTACGGACCGATCGTAAAACACACCTTCACTGGCAAAAGCTTTCACACTTCTGAAGAGAGGTGAGCTGAGCAGCTGACAGATACACTGGCCGTGGGTGGGCCTTATTTGAATTTGAATGCATGCATCGATTTGAAATCCTAGGTANGGAACGGGACCTTATTTAAAGAATTATTGGCTGAAATTCATAAAGTAACAACATTTGGCGAATTTTTCCAAAAGTCGTAACAAAAGTAACAACATAAGATCTAATAAGCAAAAAGTAACACTTTTGTTATGAATGTAACACCTCTGGCTAGAGGCGGGAAAATGATGCGTTGTGAAAAAAAAGTCGCGCTAATCAAAACTGGCACCGTGTAGATTAAGGGTAGGTTGCAACTTTTTTTTCCGCGTTAATCAAAACCGCGGTATTCAAAACCGTGCTAATCAAGGGATTGCTGTACCGCATTTACCCTATATGGGTTTTTAAGCCCAAAGCATTGCCAACCATTTTCAAGATGCGTCGCCGGGTAATTTCTAATGAAAAGCCATTTACGCTGAGTAATGAAAAACTATTTACAAGCCACGAACTTATTTACAAGGTTACATGCATGTGTTACCCCAAATAACTTATTTTACCCTAAAAACAGTCCGATTGTACAGCAAGTGTCAACTGAACATGTCTGACCGCTGTAGTTATCTGACATGTCTGACCGCATGTCTGACCACATAATGCAATCTGACCGCTGTAATGTGATGGCAACTACGCAATCATAAACTTGATGTTTACATTTTTTGGCGGGAACTCATCGCAACTGATTTCCGGACAAGCTTCACTGCATCCTGATCCATCCAACACACCAGAAACCTTACTTTTTTCTAAATAGTTGGCCGAAGACTGACAAATATATTAAATGCAAGAATTTCAATCTCAATGTGTTGGCAAGATCTTCTGAAGGAATTAATTTTGCTACTGAAGTGTCGCCAAAGATCTTGCAATATTCATCCACTCTCTGCACAGTGGCGTCCTGGAGAAATACATTTTGTGGTATGCATATGTACCACTTTGGAGTCAACGACTCAACGTGTTGAGCAATCTTTCTGTCTCCTGAATGTGTCAGTGACTGTGTCACTGTCCTGACAGGCTGACACTTACAGATACCGTTAGTGCAACATAAACTAGCACCCTTCCATCCATTTTCACGGTTTTTGGCGTGGTAATTTTCATTTGCGTTTCAGATGCTGTAAAAATCACAATGTACTTAACCCTTTTGTGGGTGAGTTACTATATGTGGTAATTAAAATGGGAGTAAAAAAAGGCCTCCCACATCACCCACAATGCTTATGGCAGCCTGCCAACAAGCTCCAACCAATCACAGATCGTGTACGAGTTATGTCATGTATGACGTAGCGCTCTGACGCACTCTTACATCTGTGTGAGCTGAATTAAAAACTAAGTACCGGGTACTCTGGAAAAATGGCAAAACGGCATTTTGGGCCCTCATCGTATTCACTTTAGCAGCTCTAGCCCATGAAGAACTGTATGTAAGGCCATGATAGTTGCTAGTATCATAGTTAGAAACTTGCTTTATCGACTGAATATGATGCCATTTACTTGAAGCAAATGCAAGATGGTGAAATATCATAGCAAAAATTAGTGTGATCATATGTGAGCATACGCCTGCCAATGCTTAGAGATGGAAGTGACTATGTTTGGTCATATGTCCACTAAAGGTAAATTTCTACAGCGCTTGGTAAATATGTTTGTTAGCATTTAATGGTTAGCAGTATTATGATTTAAGCCATGTTTTTCAGTCTAACCTAATTATAGTTCAGCACTTGATGCTTTCCCTGACTTTGACTGCAGTCCAAGCTCTTGGCATTCCCTTTGCTACAGAACATAGAGCTGACACGGTTGCAAGCAAGATGGTCTCTGTACTGACCCAGACAATAACTTGTCCTTCACCAATACTAATTCTTACTGACCATTTTTCACAAGTTTTAGGTATATGTTGTACATGAAAGTGACTCTCTACATATGGCAAGGATGTCTCATTATATGGATGGTCTGGAAATACCTTGCCATAAAATACTTAATGTACCTATAATTTTTTTCATCTTGATTGCTTCCTTTGTAGTATGTGTTATAATACATGCATAAAAGAGCAACCAAGATGCTTTTTACCATCTAAATAGTAAACTTTCAGTGTCAAAAACTGCAAATTTTTTGTACCTTAAGCCAGCAAGGTCCCATATATGATCACTTCATTAATTGTGATTTACTACTTGTATACAAAATTTTTTGAAAAATGCTTATGAGTAAATATATCTTAGAATTGGTCATATAATCATCAAATATTGCAATTTCATCATATTTCTATGTCCGCTGGGAAAGGGTTAAGGAGGCTTCTGGCAACTACCAAGACCCTGATGAGTGTTGCCTGTGCCAGTCACTAGGCAACACTAGGAATAGAATAAAATTAGTACAAATTAATTTTAAATGAAATATTTTTATTGTTAACAGATCTTATAACCATTCGTAGAACGTATATAATTCTTATCAGATTTTTTTTTCATTTTGATGTTCTATGAATGGAATTTGTCTTAAAATATTTGCTTTAATAAGAGTGTTTCAGATTAAGTTACTGGCATGTTGGGATATACATCCAGTCTATTTGAAACGGGCTTTTTTGCTATACTGTCATGCTACTGTTTTAGAGACATGAGAATTCCTTCACTTCTTAATGCTCTCAAAATTGCTTCATTCACCTTAGGTTACTGAATCATATCATGTTACTTCAATGTTCTACTCTCTCATCTTCAGGTATTTGCTCTTATATCTCAGATTATTTGAAACTTATACAAACTATGAGTGTAAATACCAACCTGATGCGTGGATCCTATGGTGGCACCATGGGAGTTCCTCAGCAGTCAAGTAAGTAATTATAGTCAAAATTGTTAGGTAGGTACCTATTTCTTAAGGTTTTAGTATAATATGTTTGAAGCTACTTTCAATTCTTTCATGGAATATATCCACTTTAGTACAATACCAGTAGATAATAGGAATACTTTTTACATTTTTCCCAATCTTATACATACTAGCATTCATTATTCAATTGGAAACAATTCAGAGAATTGATTTGTTGCAGCTAAACAATTGTTTGGTACTGAATTGGTGAGCCACTAATAGGTATAGGTTAAGATGGTATTTAATATATTCAAAAAAAAAAACATGAGCTATACCCATCACTATATTTCTTCTTTATGGTTCCTTGTCCATTACAGTGAATATCTTATAAATTTTCAGTCAATCCTGGCAGCAATAGTGGCCTACAGGCAACGCCAACTTCGCAACAACAGTCCTCTTCAAATGCTGGCGGCAGCACAAATAACACAACTAGTGCAGGCACAAGTGCTACCGGTGCTGTTGCTGCTGCTGTGGCAGCTGAGAGCCAACAACAGATAAATACTCTATCTTACTGCAAAGTTGGGGCTGAAACAGTTCAAGACATAGTGTCTCGAACAATTGAGCTTTTCAGTTTGCTCAAGTCTATACAGGTAGTTATTAATTAAAACTATACAGGTACTAATTAATTAAAACTATACTGGTTACTTATTAATTACGTACCACTACTGTGCCTCTGGTAATTAGTAATTCTGTGCAATTTTCTGGAAAGTATCTGATTTAATCTGAATTGGTCTAATAATATTCTTTTGTTTTTAATATATGTTTTGGCACAATTTTTCCATGACTTTATCATTTTTTTAAATTATTATTTTCTTTGCATTGCAATGTGACCAATAGTTTTGCATATACGCTACATACATGTTATTATATTTAATAATATGTTTCTTGTTGACAGCTCCCAAACGGAACGCCAAGTGGCACCCAACTCAGTGTTGACAACAGGTCTCGCATTCAAGAGAATATCAACAGAACGAGGCACTTGTTCAAGCGTCTGCACATCATCTATGCTAAAGTCAACGAGGACTGCAGTGGCATGGACTACACTCCAATCGAAGTACGTATGCACAGTCTTTAGCATTTCCCTGTCATCTATCGTGATGATACATTCAATTACAGTATTTATATAGTAAAAAATGCCAATGATATGATTCACTTATTCATACTTTTAAAGCGCTACATCGACCATATCTACTAATTTATTTACTACACTTGTTTCGTTTCATATTTGCATAGTTTAATTCAGCCAATTCTATCATGCGCGCTCCGGAACAGAGTTTCCTTCATAACGTCTATCCTGACAGCATTTCATTATTATTGCGATCCGCATAGAATTGGTCTAGCCTGATGACTGTTGTTAACTTTACTAACATAGGAATGATTTGAAAGATATTTTTTATTTATTTGTAATTTATAACAGTCGCTGATACCATACCGCGATGATGTTGAGAGTCGTCCCGATTTGAAGAAGAAAAGCGACTCCTATCGACATCACGCAGAAGAAGTTCAAGATCTAAAAGAAGTAAGCATCGTTTTGCTGCAAATGAAATTTTTTGTTGTTTTATACAATTATTCATGCTGAATCTCGTGTTGTGAGGAATTATATTCTAGTTACGTATATATTTTTACTATTTCTATATTTCAAGTCAACTGTTGCTGTTAAAATTATAGTTTATCTTGGTGGTTGAGGTTTATCTAGCATCAAACCTCGATTTCAAAATTGACATTACACATGTTAGTTCGCGATTAATTCAGCTTAACTTTTGTGAGTATTCGCGCGTTTGTAGCCCATCAGAAAATGTGTATTATTTAGTGAGCTTGGTTGGTTCTCTGCTGATACATATTGGGTAACTTGAGTAACCTATCAGATATATTCCTATTTTTTCTTCTGTTGTTACACAATTCCCGAGCAACGCAGAGTTATCCTGCTAATGTGTTCATGTAACTTTTCCAGCAATTGTGTATGCGGTCGCGGTACCTGAAGGACATAATAGATGAGCTGCGTAAGATCATATGGCAGATCAACGCCATGCTGGCGGTCAGGGCCGCGTCGTGACAACTCGGACGCAAGTGCATCGAGTTCTCATCGAGCCACGCAATCATAATAGTTTTTAGCTTGAAGCGTATCTAAGTGACATATGCGGTGAACGTACCTATTAGCTATCCTGCTTTTCATGTCATTAAATATTCGGTGTTCTAAAAAAATAGAGATTTTGTTAAGTAATATCTTTGTCACTGATTTTTCCTAAATGTAGGGGTGGAAAGAAGTATTTTGGAAGAAGGTTCATACTTATGAGTTCAATTGATGAATAAATTTCTAATCTAATCAAGGAACAGAGAAAAACACATTTGTGCATTCTTCCTTACATTTTTTATATAAATCAAGTAAACATAAATGGATTAAACGTAACGTACATCAACAAAATCATATTCTGGACCGCACGCCTGAAAAGAATTTCTAAGGGCATGGCCTCAATGACTAGCCTGACGTCGCCAGCAGCAGCCGATACGGCCGCTCCGACGCTTGCCTCGACACTGGAAGAGCTACCGCTGCCGCATACGTTTTTATAGAAAGTGAAACACCCAAGACCTGAAGTTATAGATTCCATTGATCGTTTAATGAACTAATTCAGCTGAATGGTGAAGGTTGTTGATTAATCAGAATAAAGGGGGTCACATTCTTAATTGCAAACGTGCACTTATTAGTGATCTCGAAGTTTTCCTTCTTCGTTCAGGCAAAAGGGAATTCAGTTAGGATTTCCAAGTAGGTGCTTCATCATATGCATGAAGAATGGCACGTTGTAGTAATTCTAAAATTTTCAAAAGTACTAGATTCGCATAAACTTCTTACTATCACAAAAAATCTTTTCTTGGTGAAGAGATGTAATCAAGCAATTGAAGTTAGAATACATCGTATTGGCAGGTCGACACAGTTGATCGAGGAACCTTACACACACTTGTTTTAGCAATGGCGAGACACTCGATCTGCTTATTCTCTCCGGGTCTTTGTTGCCACTCGAACTAATTCCAAACCTAAACATTTTCAACAAATTTAATTAGAACTCTTGTAAATGCATGCGCATTGCAGGTAAACTACAATCAACGCAATTAAATTGGTTGTTTGGATAAGCAAACTTTTCTAATTCAATAATGAAGACAGACGCTAGAAAATATTTTCAATATTGCGGACCGAAATTTTTTGCCACCAATTACAGTAAGAAATATCAGCCTGACAATAGCTAGGTCAAATTGCATCATTTTGCATGATCTACAGTTTCAAAGTCCCGAAAGCGTCTGAGCATCCGACAAAAGAAACTTATACTTAGCTGATAATTTCTTATTATTTACATAAAGCAAACTAAATAGAAGCGGAGCACAGCATACACAATATGAGCCGAGAGAATTTCAGTCTAAATACGGGCGATGCATAAGCTTTATGTTTCTGCAAGTATAAAAATGAACACCTATTAATATATTTATCAACACTTCATGATCTTTTGCATTACATATCACAAAGGAATCTCGAGGATTACAACAATGAGCACCCAAATTACGATTAATAAATTGCGATTATAATCACTCTAAAGAATTGTTTTTTGATCAACAAAGCTCCCGTACAAATTTGTGACACATTAAAACGGCAAAATATTGCGATAGGAGTTAACCACGTGTTCCTGACGACGATCATGTCTACTGAATGCAGAAATGCCGTGAAATTGCAATCGAATGAAGTAGATTGCTGCGTCCGAGTCACGCTTCAAAATTGCAAGATCGTTTACGTCCTAGGTTTTGGCAGTGTAAATGTCACTAGCGGCACGGTATTATGTACAGGTCTTATCAGGCTAAAATTTATCTTATTTTATATAAAATTGCGGTTGTAGATCCAGTATATGAAAGTTTGTCAGCAGAAGAAAGAGAAGTTTTCCCTACTTCTCCATCAACGAAATTGCATCACGTCTCTAAATATTCCGTTTATTGCAACCAAGTGAACTAATTGATAGCCGAGAAGTTACATGTAAGCACGAATCTCTTAGCATTAATACATAACAATAAAAATTTAAAGATCAAGTTACGCAACAATAATATACTTTAAATTCAATCGAACAAACATCAGTAAGTTATGGCTTGAAGAAAACCCAATAGCGTAATAAATAAGCTTCTTACTTCTGAAATATACAGACATTCACGAAATTGCCTCCGATTATAGTGACTCGAGACTTCTTACAAGACAAAAGGATGGCACCGCGATATAGATAAGGCAATCAATAGCAATAAAAATTCACCAACAGATCGATGAATATTGCAAAATAAATTACGAAAAATCTCAAAGCATGCGTTTTGTAGCTGAAAGAATATGGGTTCCACCTCGTGTATTTGAGTAAATATATTAAAATGACCCTTACAATGATCAGCGATTATGTAAGGTTTTTAGCATCACAAGGATTCAAAGTTAATATTATTTGTCGACTCAGCGCTGATCATTTAATTGAAAATTGTCTCGTGAAAGCTCTTTTTCCAAGAATTTTGGATAAAATATTTGTCTTTTTAAACTTAAGCAACAGTTAATGAAATCGAGGAACTATCCATTTTCAAACGTATAATAACAGTCACTACAGTAAAAGCCGGTATTACAACTTGCTCGCGGAACTCAGTTCGTAGAATAAAACGTAGGCCTCTGAACTGCAAACCCTCCTTGCCGGGATGGGCGTCACTCTGCACGCAATAAAAATAAAAAGTATATAATAAAACATTTCAACTCACATCCCCGCCTTCGAGGTTGCAGGCGGTACCAAACCAGTATCGCCTGCCTGGATACCAATCTGTAAATAACTAAAAGCAGAGAATAACACAGTTAAATCTGTAGCACATTAAGCAATAGGAACGCGTATTTTTCAAACAATACCGTACACGAACTGTCATCGGATAACAATCCGTTGTCACCTCGCAGAGGGATGCGATATTTGTATACAAAAATAAAAATATTCCACAACACTGACTTCAAGGTAAATGAAACTGTAACCTGCGTTATTTTTCTCACATATGAGAAGACCAGAGTGCCATGTCATTTATTCCAATGATCGCTATTTGAACACAATTTAAAAGATACGGTAATCGATGCACTGTATTTCGCAGTGCGGCACTATTCTAGTTAGACTGTATATATACCTGCTGTCGTTGTACTCGTGCCACTGCAGGGAGTAGGGATGTCTGCAGAAGGCCGTGTAGTGTCCCGAGTAAGTGGTGCCGCTGTGGTTCGCAACTCCGATCAAATTATAGTTACAGGATGACCGCGAACTAGAGGCGTACCTGATGAGAAAGAGGAAATTTACTCCAGAGTAATTAAAATCCGCTTAATGTTACGGCCGCTCCAGACTAGTCCTAATTGTTGAAGTCTTACTTCGGTACTTCAAATACAAAGGACAAAAACATCGCTCATGAGCACCTGTGAAGAATATATGATAACGTCTACATTTTGGAAGATGATTCACCTCATCTCGCTGAGACATTATCCATAACGTATTGTACTAAAAATGCACCTGTTCTCATGCTGTGAACAACTTGAAATTAATTTATCAACGAAGTTTTCACTTCTCAATATAAGAAACGATCATATACGTGAAATCATAGAGAATAAAATGAAACTATACAAAATCCGTAGATTAGCTTCACAACATATATTTGATTAACCAGCAAATAACATGCACGTAGGTACGTACTTGGAAAGGTCGAGATTTTCTACTGGAAATTCCACGGTACAGGAGAGCTTTCCTCTCCATCTCTCCGTTGGACTAAAACGTTTCAAATGTAGCACCAAGACTTGCGGGAACTTCTGTATGCTAAAAGACTTGGTCATTTTTCTTCTCTCCTTGCACTTGGAACAAGTCTGAAAAAAAAACAATGCAAAATATAAGATTTATTATTTTGCAAATTTTAGAATAATGAACTGAGGGACCGAAATTTAATTTACAGCGCAACTGGAATTATGCGAATTTATTTCAAGTGCATAAAGTTAATCATTACCAAACACGGATTATCATAACCTTGAAGAATCATTCGGGATACACAGAAAGAAAACATAAGCAGACTCACAGGTCTCTCGTCGCCATCCATGACTTCTTCTTTGGTGAAGAGATCCAAGCACTGGTTGAGTCTGACGGTGCCAGTCTTGGGAGGGATCGGTAACGACAAGTCCCAGAAAGGGTCGAACGTGACGGACGTGTGAGAGCAGTGCGAACATTGCAAGCTAGACTTGAGTTGACCAACAAACATGTTCACAATCTTGCTATCGTCGAACCGAAGGTATCGCTTCCAGGACTCCATCGCTTTCTGGTCGTCGCTGTCATGACAAGGAAATATTTAGAATTATTTTTAACCAAAAGAAACTAGCACATGATTAACCATAGACTTTAAACAACTTTGAACCCCAATTGATCACATATATCAAAACCTTTACTCTATCAGCTTGAATGTCACGCATCATTTTACGTCAGAATTCAATTAAACAGATTGTACGAAATAGAAACATCAAATGAGGTATTGTATTGGTTTAAGTGCGGTAGAAATAATCATCACCTGAGGTCATCATCGATGTCGGTGTGTATGGGCCGCGGTCTCACAGTCACTCTGTTGACGTCCTCATGCAGGCCCTCCAGCAGTTTACGCAGGAACTCCTGCGCGTCGTGCTGCTGGTAACCTGAAAATTAAACCACTTTATGCTCCTGAAAAATTAAAGTCCTCAATATTCCTGGTTAGTAAGGCACGATATATTTCTTAATAAGATAGTCAATCAAAATCCTAATAAGTATCCCACATCAAAATTCTAAAAATTAAACCCGTTTGCTCTCCGTCATTAGAAGAGCAAAAGGATATGACCAAATTGCAATTTTCATCAAAGCCATAAATAATGGTAAATTGTAGCTCTTTCAATACTCTCAAAAACTTGAGCACACATGTCGAGATTCTCCCCGTCGCAATACAAAAATTACAAGAAAATTTACGTAATGACATTTCTCAAAGTCCGATTTGATAACCAAGATTGCGGGGTTTTTAATTGCGTTTTTTTATGGATATTTAGCGTTGATGAACTTCAGCTAACTTTACCTAACCGTCATTTACACACAAACCTGTGAACGTAGGAGCGAACTTCTGTATTTGTGTCTTGAAGGGGCCGGTGTTGAGGGCTCTGTTGCTGTCGCCCTCTGTCCACATCTCACTGATCAGGTTGCCGAACGCTGAAAGTAAAATACAACTCTACATTTTGAAATGCAATAGTAAAAATATTTTATTTTGCAATATTAAAAAACACAAAAATTCACCAATAGACTATTTTGAGAGATTAAAAAATTGTATGCCCGATGATAATTTAATTCTGATACATCAATGAACTAGGTTTCATCGTTGTAGGTTGTAAGCGGCTATTGTACTCGTTTCAAAAGAACGTTTTCCTTCGAACGAGGCTTAGCGTTGCCGTTATCAGCACGACTGCCGACCAGCGACTAACACATATTACTGCCCACTATTGACGTAGTATACCTCACACGCACGACTGTAGGGCTTAGCGTACGGTTAATAGCCGTTTTGCTGCCATGAATGTTGTCATCTTGACATGTCAACTTAATTTATTATTGTGTACAACTAGTGAAGAAACAGCCGCTATCAATTTTGGAATGCGTTCAATATAAAAACGAACGAAAAACTTTGATTAAATTAACGAATTAAATAAGGGAGCATCTTATTAGGATCCACGAGTTCACGAAAATCGAAGCTAAGCTATATTATACCAGNTTTTTTTTGAAGGTTGAAGTTCAGCTTAAGGCTCCTAAGGTAACTAATGAGTGAAATGACACTCATTTAAACACAGGTTACACACGAATCATGGCTTACCTCTGATGAGATCGCCCTTCATTGTGGAGAGAGACGTGTTGATGTCAGAAGAGTAGCCTTCCTTGACCAGGTACTCCAGCAGGCAGCGCGTGTTGCTCAGGCACTGCGTCACGCTGTTCAGGAAACACTGAAATGCACGCACCAAGTTACGGTCATGAATTCAGATGTGATGCGAGGGCAGTTGTGGTATTCAGAATTCAGATGTGATACAAGGGCAGTTGTGGCAAGGTAATAATTCAAATTTGCTGCTTTAAAAACTGTTAAGAACAGCTAATTTAGAATGTACATTATTTGAGCGGAAATGCTTCAAATTATCGCTAATAAAACTCAGCTAACGTGGAAGTGAAAATAAATTAATATGCTTCAATAAAAGGTAGAAGTTAAAACATAATATTTAGACATCATATTTGGATCATGCTAAACGATTAGCATCTATGTCATTCGGACACTAGAATACTCGTATTATTCGGGTGCTGCCAAAGTGACACAAGCAACGATAGTTTTAATGAAACAATTTCTTATAGTTTCGAAATGATTTCCTATAGTTTCGAAACGATTTCTAATAGTTTCGAAACGATTTCTAATAGTTTCGAAACGATTTCTAATAGTTTCTTAGTTCACTTCTTTTTTCGACATCTTAGTTTAACCGAAACAAAGGGAATTGAGAAATTGGCAATGTAATAAGCGGATGTCAGCGAGAGTCTCACAGTGTTGCCGATGTTCCTGAGGCCGACCAGGCCGCTGCTCTCGCTGAAGCCGCCCTTGGGTTTGCGACCAACCGGAGGCGAGTCGTCGTCCTGCCAACATAAGAAACGTTTTACAAATATGAAAATTTTACGATAAAACTAAAACACGCAGTTCGTGGATAAATTTCAAACTGCAACTGATCTAATTTCAAACTGCTTTAGATATGAAAATTGTCTTTAAATTCATGAACATAATGGTTCATTCGTCAATTGTGTCATTGATGAAACTTTATGAACTTTGAAACGAACTGCAAAAAGCAATTTTGTTACGAGCTGAGTGATGAACCACAAAATGGAATACTAACATAGTGGCAATACCCCCTAAAAAACTCGGGGCAGCGCAAAGTGCCGCTGAGCAGATGCTGCTCTGGGACGCAGCCGGCATAGGATTGTGAGCCTTCAAAGGCATACCCAAGTTTAGGCACCCAGGAGCTTGGCGCATACGACCTGCTATTGCCTCCTTGAAGTTGGGCGCCAGAAAGATGCCCCGATTGGTGACCAGTGTAGGAAAAGTCGCTAAACTTGGGACGTTTATCTAGGGAGCTTGAATCTGACGCTGTCACGTTCGGCGTGAGATGCGGCAAATGGCACGACGAGTCGATCAAATTATTTTGGCCATTGCAACGAACTGAGAGGAACTCCCTTCTAGTGTTCGCCGAAGGTCTTAGTCCCATTCTTTTTCGGTAGGCTTGCTGATCAGTCAAGGAATATGTTTGATGATCTTTAAAATTGCTGAGAGCTGTTTTATTTTTAGACGAAAGTGAATATTCTTTGAAACTGTAATTCAAAGAATTGTGTTGCGCTGTTGCTGTATTGTAGATTAAATATGCCAGCAGGAAGGCCACGACAAGAGCGATGCTCAGCTCTTCCTGACTTTCCTTCAAAGCTTCCGTCACTTGCGATGCACGTCCAGTCATCATCATTAACGATGATGGAATATAAACTCATCGGTGATTGCCAACCATGGAATTGATTTCAACCATAATTGATTTCAACACGTAACTAACAATATAAGAACTTGATGGACCTTGCGAGAATTATCCCGTACTTGAGTCATGCATCTCATCATGGTCACAATTTCGGCACGTCGTTGCAGCGCAGCTTAGCAACACAAATGAATAGAGTGTCAAGTTAAAATTCGCGCAAGTGTACGCGGCAACTCATGTACAATAGGATGCACAGGAGCTCGCTACGAAGCCAGTTGGGATCTTTATTGAGTTCTTTAAGAAACTTTATGGAGTCAATTGCCCCTTCGATGCTGCAACGTTCAGCTGGTGTTAGCTCACACACTTAAGCAAAATTTCAAGCAACCAAACAGTAAAATTAGATATTATTCATGAAAATTCACATCGAATTAATCCGGGCTTCAGCTCAGCAAGAGCTTGACGGAAATTGTTCACAGCACTATAAATCACTTATTTTCTACGACAACACCTCTTCCTTATCATCCATTATTTACCCTGTCATCTTTAATTAAAATAACGGATGTTATGAACACTACCAAACTCGACATAAAACAAAACGTGAGCAAGTTGCCGTCGAGCACAGAGGTAACGTAATCACGGCGAGCGCACATCTGTCGTGAGGCCCTAGCCTATAGCTGCCAACTGGGCTGTGGCACCGAACACTGCTGCCAACTGCAGCGAGATGTCAAACGTTGTCCTCGATAAAGCCGGCATCTTAACTTTGCTATCGGGAACAACAGACTAACGTATCAACATGCCCTCTTAATAATCTATAGATTTGAATGAAGTAATTTTCGTTACTTCTGTCAAATTATTCTTATAGGTCAAAATCACTCCGTAGAAAGAAATACGAATAATATCACGTTATCATGATGAGATGACAATAGATGTACATTATAGAATATTAAGTTAAAATATCATGCCATTTTCCCGATGTGTCTTTTTTGGTTACAGTTAAAGAGTTCAATATTCAGTAATCTGTGATGCACGCCGAACGAGAAAATTCAACATTCAAGCGAGTCATACGATCACTGGCAATCCGTGCACAATTTTATCCCAGCGAACGGGCGCAGGCTTCGCATTGAAGCTTACATTGAGGTCACGAACGCAGAAAAGAAATGTCCTGCACTGGGCATTGCTCGATCAGTCCATGCAAGAAGTCACGCACTTCATCTCAAAGTGTGCGAACAATTTACGATTTGACCTTTTAAATACTCGCATCTCAAATTTCATAAGCCATATAATGTCACATCGCATTTGTGGAGGAAAATCAAAGTATTGATAGATCTTTTACTCAGGAGAACAAATGCTCTCAACTTCAGAGCAAAATCAACGTTGAGATTCGTCCGTTTACCAAGCTTTTACCCTTTGTATTCATATTTTTGCATTCTTGAATGTAACGTTTGAATTGGAATCGAATATTTTCTAGTGAATGAAGAAATATATATATAACTCAGTACTCACTGCAGTGAGTGACAAAGAGCGCATTTTCTTGTCGACGAAAACGTGAAGTCACGGACGGACAGACAGACGGACGGCAGACGGACTTGGCGAGCACAATAGTGCATTTTTTATAAATGCGAAAATGCGCTAAAAATCAAATGTAAGCCAAATGCTTTTCCTTATCGTATTAGTAGGATTAAAACAATACGTTGATTTTTCACTCATCATACCAGACAAAGTTAACAAAATTATTGAATGACATGCTTTTTCACTAAAAACAGATCTATAAATCCCTACACCTACAAAAGATTTACATGCGGAAGCTTCATTTCAAACAAGCGTTCATTCAATATATTGATCGATAAACTTGCTTTTGACTCGTGCAGTAACTAAATTCTATCCGAACAAAAAAGTATTAGACGAGGCATTAGATTTAGACATCAGTCGATATACCGCACAAGGCAATGACGTATCATCATTGCAATCCGCTATGACATCATTCACATGAATTATTTCGGTTAGCAAACAAGCCAGCAGGGATCCGCACGACACGGACGTGTCAGTGACTCATCGCGCCTGACATCAACTGCTGTAAGGCAACAAAATAACGATAAGAATGCCTTTGTTTAAAGCGACCGTCACTAGTATATTTATGGCAGTATTATTTCACTCAGATCGCTGAAGGTTTCCGATGCATCATAGATTCAGCATTCGCAAACGGGAACTAACTTATTTATAACAAAACATTAATCTCGAAAAAAATATAAGGTCTGAGAAAGTTCCGCAGTCACATCTACACAGCATCCATAGAAATAGTCTCGACAAGAAAACTGAATAACGATCTTATATGAGAAAAAGTTCACTTCCAATTCATTTAAATACCCGTTCACATTCATGTCGGCTGCTAAAATAGTGACGTCACCAGCGCATCGCATCGCCATAGTAAACAATCAATAAGCACCAGCGCAAATCGGATTAGAATGACTGTAACCTACCACATCGCATAAACAAATCATGCTTCACCAATTAAAACTTGAATCACAAAATGAACAGTGCGAAAAATATCCGTAATTTTTTTTACAACGACCAAATACGAAAACCATAATTGAAAGAAAAACCTTAGCAACACAAGCTCAAATAAATAACGCGGGCATAGTTAGATACCATTTATACGAGACGACCATGAGAGCGCAGTCAGTGCGCGCGGCAGCGATCGATACTCCGCTGGAGAGTTCCGTGATCACTTCCTGCATGGAAGATGCATGGCTGCTACAGCCCCGATGTTCTTGCGCGAGCACAGATTAACAAAGCACATTCAGCGTTAATATATGGCTGCGTTACATCCAAATAATGCTATGATAAGAAGTAACAGTTTTAAATTGTTTATTATTACGCCAAAAATTATTAAGAAATAACACTTGCAAATTTTGGTGAAGTACTGTCATAAGTATAACGTACGTAAATGAGTGACCGTCTTAAAGATCGTACAAATAACTGTTGCATATGTCACATATAGAAAATGACTTCATATAAATTTTACATGCTTGCTTAAGACATCAGAGCATTTACTTCCTTATGGGGATTCTGCAACAGTGCACAACTATGTATAACAGTTCAACTAAGTACAACCGTAACAGAAACGAGGCATTATTTGCATAATTACGACCACTGACTCTGCAAACAAATTGCAACGCGTCGAGATTGCTACGTAACGCCAATGAAGTGCAATTAAATGCAAACTAACTGACCCCTTTAAATATTGCGAGTGAATAACGAGTGGCCTAAGCTCCGTAACCAGCCGTAAGATCAAGCAGGAAGAAGTGCACGCATACGACAATAGCTTAATTACAGCTACCCAATCTTGACAAACAATGGAACTCGACTATATGCAGAAGTTTTGCATGATAAATTATACAGAACAAATCACAAAGACATCCGAACAATGTATTGCATGTAATTTGCAACATACTCGGACGCAACAGATACGTTTGTTATGTCTCATTTAAAATACTTTCAACTAATGTATCATTGTGCGCAAAGCTCATCTTTCCATACACAATATTAAGTACTAGCATAAGAATCATCTCATCGATTATATCATGGACAAGTGAGATATTTACCATTTTCTAACGGTTCAAGAAATAAAAAATCATAAGAAAAACTCTTAAGAACTCATTTCCTTCTTTACTTACTCACACGCAGTTCAATAAATTTTAGCGCGCAATATCAATAAGAGTTGATTGAAAAGCGAAATGAGCGCTACTGTGTCGAAATCGCTGTTCACGTTTCGTTCCTGTAAATCAAAAACACGCGCTGAAGGTGTGCCACCATTTGGACACTGAATGAACGATAAATAATTTCTATAATACGCTATATTATAATAATATTTATCTAACAGTAAAGAAGCGCAGCACAGGCGGGGATGGGGGCGAGTAATAGCGTCGCTACGTCCCGTGCTGGGCGAGGTCAGCCGCTGTACTTCCGCGTGTCCTACAGCGGGCGCTACAGAAGACAGCGCCAGCGCTGCTCTACGAGTTTACGCACACTCAAAAAAATAACCGAGTCTTTGTCTAAACGACGATGATTTTTGTGCACTTGAATTTTCACCCTGGCCAAGCAAAAGGGCGTATTAGTGCCACGTCC